TCACACATTGGGGTGAACGTTTGCTCGTTTGGAGCGGTTGGAGCGCCACCTTGTGTTGAAAACATGCGTCATAGAACACAACATCTCAGGGAGCAACTGTGGGTTACGCACAGCAACCATCTGCCATTGGTAAGCCTCACTCTCGCAGTAGAGTATTCACTGCTCAGGGCGGCAGCTGGTTAGCATAGCTTAGGTTAGCACGCCTTAAAAAGTCAAAGGAAAACACTCGCGAACATGTGACATATAAATCATAGTACTTTGTAACACTAAGCTTCCAATAGTCTGCTGGACAAAATAGCACATACCTGCTGATAATTAAATCAGTTAGCGTGGCATGGAGGCATGTTAATAGCCGTATTTGCTAAATTTAGCTTACCTTACCTTTAAAGGCATTTAATAAGATAAAATTTGGCCAAGTTTAGCATGTGATTCTTTGTAAAACCTCAAAACATGACATCTTATAGAGATCAATATATATATATATATATATCAGTTTTGTTAGCTAGCCAGGGCCACCACTCTAAACTAAGCTAAAACAAGCTAAACTAAGATAATCTGAGCAACGATAAAATGAAAAACAATGATTAGATCATAAAGTAGCCTTTGTGGTGTTTCTAACGCTAAACTAATGCCAACAAAACGGGTCCAGAGACGACATATGCTGTCAATAATGCGCAGAGAACTTTAAGCCACAGCGACGAACCGAATACATCTGTATCATGGAAGAGAGTTTGTTTTTTTTTTTGAGGGGCGGGGTTGCTAAAGGGGATTGATGGGGAGTCATGGGACATATCACACACCTGACAATGACACAAAACACGAGCAAAATGGAGGTTAACAGTTGACTTGAGCAATTTCACTGGGTCAATGCCAAAAATTCACGCAACACACACTCAATTTAAATTGTGTGTTTGTGTGTTCCCATGCAGCACTCTGAAAAGAGAACAAAAAAAATGAGCGAAGAAAAAAAACTAAATGAGGTGAGAGGAAGAAGATGGGGAGGAAGAAGGAAGGCGGCCGTGGTCGATGCTGACAATGAAAATGGCAGACAGCACCAACATACCAGAAAGGTTAGTCCTCATTGGTCAGTGATAGTGATTCTGTGGAAAGAAGTGTGGTCGTGTGGCGGTAAGGAAGTGATTGTAAAGAAAGAAAGAAAGAGAAAGAAAGAATAAAAGAAAGAGAGAAAAAAAGGGGATGAAGTATAGAGAAACAGTGTTACATAGTGGGACATCAGCGAAAAGGTTGGAGCGCTAGCTAGCATACAAATGGGACTGGCATAGTTAGTGGAAAACCAGGAATGATTTTATATTATTCCTCATCCATCATTCCAGTCACCCTTTGAACACACGGCTTTTAGCACAAGGGCTGTGGTGAGGCGCTTGTGAGCGGGACGACAGTCTAAAGACAAGGAAGTGGTCTCTGAGCTGCTGAACAATCGATTTGCTCTATTTCTATGTCATACCAACAACTATCCCTCTGTTTTTATTTACCTCCTGTACGCCCTCATCCGGGTGTCTTCAAATCCCCCTTAGCAACACAGAGGATCCACACCAGTTTTTAAAAACATTCCGAATGACAACAACGCTTTGGGTGTTTCTCATGAGAATTTAGTAGGAAATCATACGCTAATTAGCAATGACCACTGAACATCATTTTATATTGGATACTGACTAAGAACGGGAAAACCCAAGCACACAAGTGCTCATGAGTGGTGTCTTTGGAGTTGTTTGTTCCTTTCCTGTTCCTGTTACAGCAATATCACCCCCTGGTTTTGTTATTCAAACATGGCCATGAATTACATAAGGTTGGTCAATGGTTCATCAGCGACTAAATTCTTCCTAGCGGCAATTGGCCACTGCAGAGAAAAGAGCCGAGCTATTCTATTACGCTGCTTCTGTGCCTATCTGAGCCCCTGTTCTTGTTCCTGGGGCATGACAACATTTTGCGATTCAAACAATCTAGTGGGTTCATCCCATGTAAGCCAATCTTTTCAGTGGTCTTTGGGCCACCAATGACTCAATTCTACCTAGCAACATGCAGCCTGGCAGAAAAAGGAGCAAATCATTTTTGTTATCCTGTTTCCTGTGTCTGCTAGGTAGATGAAATGCTTTTGGGAGTGAACCTCATGTGTGGAATATATTAATTTTGTTGCATTTTTTTGCTACTGAATCCAACTAAATTCTCACAAGGACAGAGAAATTGAAAGAGGTTTTAACTCACCTGGGCACACTCGGCGGTGCGCGGTTCGGTCGAGAGGGCACTGTGGGCGGCGGCCCGCTATAAGGGTCTGGAGAAGCCCCGGGGCGGGATGGTACCGGAGGTCCCCCGGCAGGAGGAGGCCCGCGAGACCCAGGGCGAGCTGGAGGGCCTGGGGGCGCCCTACGATTTGGAGTTGGACTGGTGGCTGGAGACCTGGATAAAGGACAGCACGCTGAAGACCGCGATCCATTCGGAATTGAACAACTTGTCGTTCATCCCTCACCTTCCTCCCGAGCCACCCCGTTGGACCTGCAGCCACGAGTCGTCCACAGGCGGCGGCATGGCTGTGGAGACGGTGGACGTGCTGATGTCGCCGATGATGTGGAGTGCCTCTCGCAGGGCGTGATACATCCTCAGCATTTCGTCGCGGTGCTGCGCCTGCTCCTGAGACTCCTCCATCAGTGTGTTCTGGTCGCCGCAGGAGTACAACTGGGCCAGTAGCTCAGCATTGATGAACTCTTTGCACTGGATAGCACAACAGAACTTTACAGCGTGCTTCACAAATGTTCCCCTGTGCCCCCAAAAAGGAGAACTCACATTATTAATCATGAGGTGCATAATGGTCTTGGGCATCAGGTCGCGAACTGTTTTGTTGACGATGGCCATGTAGGAGTCGACCAAGTTGCGGATGGTCTCGACCTGACGCTCCAGCTGGGGGTCCATGCTGTTCATGAAACCGTCGGAGCCGTTCTCGTCGCCTGTGTCGCTCTGTACAGAAACAGTGGGGACAGAATTGCCTCCGTTTAGTTTGAGCGACACTGAGATTAAATGCAGAGCAGCAGTTGAGGATGAAGATGATCTTGCGCATCTTCAGGCTATTCCTTGACTACCTCCGCCAAGTGCGAATGGGCAAAAGTGAGGTGCAGATTGGCATTTATAGCGATTGTTGTAGTTCAGCTTTGACAGAGGTCTAGTGAGCTGCTGTTCTAATTTATCTGTAAGGATTTTTTTAGGGTGACAGGAACAGCATTCATCATATCTGACATGCATTCATTGTATACAAATTTTGTTTTTGGCACATTCAAAGAAATCGAAATAAAACAAGCTGATTCCATGACATGTATTCTTCAACAATTTCCCCCATACTTCGAGAAACAAATAAGTCATCTTGCTTTTGTCTAGATTTACATCGTGAAATGCATTGCGGCTGTTTCCAAGTCCACAAAAGGCAGTTTTTATCCCACCCATTTTTTTATATCATTTGAGTGACACACTGCTTTGATGTTAAAGCCACATGTGAAAAATGATGTGCACAAACAGTAAAGAATCAAGATGTCAAGCAGAAGCACATACCTTTCCTTCCTTTTCCTACAAGGTCAAACGGTGATGAAGAAAACAGACATTGAGAGAACACCCAAAAAAAGTCACATGAGAGCAATTGACAAGAGGGAACTGCAAATAAGCAAACGATACAAACGTCACATCATGAACTCGCGGGCTTTATGCTCAATGGCGTGACGCTGATGTTACCGTGACACGTTCAGGGTACACGCCGGCTCTCAGGAAGGACGCCTTCCATGCGTCCACGTCTTCCTGACTCTCGCAGGCCAACTCCAGCTGCCGGTAGTCCTTGTACACGTTTCTGCCGTTTACACGGGGTGAGCAATATAGCATCCATCCACTTTCAACTTATAGATATGCAACGTATGTACACACCGGACACTCCATGAGTGCACAATCGAATGAGATTCAGTACGAGAGCTGCAACCACATGCAGCGTGGTAAAAAATATCTAAAATAAAATGCTGTATTATCGAAATGTAATTGAACCTTTGCTCGGTGTTGAAGAGGGCGAAAATGTGCTTGCTGGACATGAAGCCCTTCTCGACATCCCGCAGCCTCAAGTTGTCCACCTGCAGCATGTACTTCTTCTCCTTCTCCTGCAGGGGAAGACAGACCGAGACACGTGGTTGGTGGACACAAAATAGGCAAACTGGTATTGGAAAAGTATTTGGGTCATATTTTCATTTACATAACCTACATTAGATAGCATAGGACCTGAACGAAAATGGAGAACCTTGGAGGGTGGGGCGGGCAAGGACTTACATATTAAATTTAACAGCACGTTAAAAAAGGGGGGAAAAAAACATGAGACGGATGGGAAAGTTGTTCATTCAGGTCTGTGGTTTTGATTACGGCAGAGGGGAGTTAAAGGAAGGCGAGCGACAAATGAGAAACACATATTGCGCGCGCGCACACACAGACACAAAGGAAGAATGCATTTTTCTCAATGTACACACCGCACACGACATGCATGCGTCCAATCGTGGAAGATCAAAATTTTCCCTTCCTCTGTTACATACACACTGGGGATGTATGTGTGCACATATTTTTTTTTTCTTTTTCATGGTTGATATCGGCAAATGAACAGAGAGCAACCCTAAAAATAAATTCGGGTTGAGCAGGTTTCTATAAACACACACATTGACGCACACATTGGTAGTCTGTAACTAAGCTTAAAGCCATCTGGCCAGCTAACCACAGCCTGCCCTGCCCAAACTAGTGTGTGTCTTCAAGAAAATGAGTGTGTGTGCCCTTCATCAAACATTTAAGACCTATGCAGCCCCTGACAAGTTCTTAATGCATGTCAAACACACACATGTGCATGCGCGTACGCAAAACAGCATCAGGTGTCTGTCTCAAACAATTCAGGGAAAAAAACAAGAAGGCCCCAAGCCGCGGAATGCTGACTTCAATCATTTTCCCAATTTCTTGCTTTGTCTTGTTGCTCTGCTTTCTCCCTCTCGCTGGGAATGATTCATACATTTTCCTCCCTCGTGGCCATTAAACAGCAGCGCAACACGCGGTGAACCGAGTCCCTTCGCATGCAAGTATGCATAAGTCAAACGGGAACAAAGAGCGCTTATAGCGATGAACGAATTCTGACACGCGGAAACGGCGTCCAAGCAAATTGCCGAGAGAGAGCATCTCTTTTTCTTGTTGCGAGGTAGAATTGGTGTGACTCTCTCAGCATTGCCCTTTTGGCTAATGAATGATTGGTCATCTGTGTGATAGACCCCAACCAGCCAATCACAAGGTGGATGTCGACGAGGGTAGGGAATCCCGGTCCTAAAGAGCCGCAGTCCTTGTTTAGAAGTTTCCGTCTTCCAAACAAACAGATCATCAGCGAGCTGTGTAAAAGCCCGATAGCGATCATGTGCGTTGGAAGAGGGAATTACTCAAACAAGCAGGACCGCGGCTCTCTCGGACCGCTTTGGCCTACCCCTCATTGAAACAAAACAAGCGTTCGCCGTCACACTCACAGCTACGGACAATTTAGTGTTCAAAGAACCCAACGTGCAGCCTTTTGGAAGTTGGGAGAAAGCCGAAATATCCGTAGAATACGCACACACGCACCGGGGAGAACATGCAAAGTCCACACTGGAAGACCAGAGCCCACATTTGAACCCCCAACCTCAGAGACTTTGATACTAAAGAAATATTAGAAAGCAAGAGCAAAACAATGGCGGCCTAACGGGCTACAGAAACGAAGCCAACAATTTTTTTTTGGGGGGGGGTGAATGCTGACAGACCGTCATTTACGTATAGTATATGGATTGAGGTTGAGCCACATAGCTGCAAAAGATCCATCAAACCACTTGTGTTCGCGTGTTTGTGAAGCCTCGAATTGAGTGTTTTGCCATATGTTCCGATAAAGGACAACCAAAATATGCAGGCTTGAAACATATGGAGGGATCCAGAGCATCAAACATAATTTGATTTCCTGAAATATACTGGAGATGACTCGTTGTGTGCATGCCCCCAATGTGTGTGTGTACTGTACAAGAATGCAGATTTAAGAGCAGGCCAGAAGCGAATTGTGAAGTTTCAGCAGCGTTTGAGAAAGGCGCAAATCCTTTTCTTCTGACTCATTTGACATGGCGAAATCCCACCTTCAAGCAATTAAGGCCCGCGAGAGCTTCGTATTTGAGCGCTTTGAGGTCACCCCGTCAAAAACCTGCTTTATGGAGCCACGCCTCCTTGTACGACGGCCATCTGGAGTCAAGCGAGCCTCAAGCTCGAAGATTTCGAGCCTGAGTCCACATCGCGTCTAATCTTTTGGGCTGCGCGATTGAGACGATTTGCGGTCGTCAGCTACCATCCGCGGTGGAGACACCTGAGCTGCAGACGGGGGAGGGGGACGAGTAGGAGGCGAAAGACGATACCGACGGGACTCAGAGGTGGAGGCGTCTGGCGATCATCTCAGCCACCTTGAAGGCTTCCTGTCTCCGGATTAGCAAGCGCTCCGTCAAGTTCCGCGAGGCTTTACTGAGTACTTTACACTTGTCAGGGCCTTCCTTAGGAACGGGGTGCTTTCTCCTGAGTCACGTTGGTCTCGCGTAGCCTCGGGGTGCCGCAATGTCTTTGCAAAAAGGTCCGCCATCAGATGTGACTCTTTAAGTGTACTGCATTGCACGGACAACGATAAAATCAATAAACTGGCTTGCACAGTGTAAATCGTTTGAGCTGTCGGTTGATTCGAAGCAGACTAAAAATGTATTTGGTATGGAATACATATTCCATACCAAATATCACTAGTGTTGCTTTTTTAAATCATTTCCCGAAGGGAGTGTATTTTCCTGACAAATCTTGTATTTTTTTGGAGGAATTTACAAGCTAGCCTAATAGCGGGAGCGGAGCCAACCCACTGGCGACCAAAACTTTTGCTATCGGTGACTTTCCTGACATTTTCAGATAAATGTAGCATTAGATCACTTGCTATATTTCTATTAACTGGAGATGTAAAGGAAACATTTGCAAATAACCTGAATCCAAACTCTTCAAGAATCTGTCTCGAATAAAGAACGTTTGATTCTTACAATCCACGACAATCAAAATCAACACTTTCACACCATAACGAGCAAATAATTGTATTCTATATTATGAAACCATGACTGTTGATGTTATGATAAACAAGGACTTCTCGGTTCCAGCGGGGGGGTTACAAGCATGTGCTTATGGCCATACTTTGGTGATGTGTCGCCCTGGCCATCATACTGAAAAATTTCTGGCTCTGGCTCTGCCTCTGAATTGTTTTATGCGTTTTATGTTTGTCTACGAAGAGTGTAACACAATCCGATTTGTATGGCGAGATGCATACCCTTTTATTTCTTTTTCTTTTTTTTTTTTACAGTAGTTAACTTTTTTTTTTCCCTTTGGTGACTTTCCCCAATGCATTATGGGCGTCCGTTATTATGTGATTGCAATCTGCAACATTTTTTAGATCCAGTGGATGCTTTTGCTGTTCGACGGCGACGAGACAGTAAAATACGGCAGAAGGACCCACGGCAAGTAGAAGGGTTTTGATACGCCCTTTTGTCCGTGAGGTTCCTTCCCAGTGAAAGGCGGCATCAGTGACTTGGTGAGTCACACTCAGGCGGTCCGTCACACATGAAGCAGTAAAAAAAACAAAAAACAAAAAAACGCCGCCTGCGGTGTTGGGAGCTGTTACGCGAGTGTAAAGTACTTTCCATGCTTTTGTTTTGTTAGTGAGTAATGACACACTCATTATTAAACGCCAGAGGAAGTTCACCATTCTGAGAAAAAAAAAAAACAACCTTTGAAACATTGGCCGCTCAGCCAATAACACATTTCGCAATTCAGCGTCGTTTGAGGGGAGCAAGGCTAAAAGAAGTGTGATTATGGCATGTTGTCTGACGGGGACGTGGGCGTGATAGAAGTTCGAGGGACTTGAGCCGGGCATCAAAGGAGTGACGGGGAAGCCGCACGGCATCTGGGAGCAATAACATCGCTTCTAACCCGTCATTAGCACAAAGGCCGGGCCCTGGGTGGCAGCCAGCGGCAATTTTCGCAAGCCTCTTCTTCACCTCCTCTCCCTCCCGTCGCTCCTCCGCCATTGCAATATTGAGTTCCGTCTGTACAAATGAAACAAGGCTTCACAAGTCTACGCGTGGTGAGGCTGCGTGAGGCCCCGTAGACACTTTTGACGAGCGACTTTGTCGCAAACTCAAAGAAGGGCCTTGTTCTTTTGCGACAAAAGAATATAACGTGAGCCACTTGGAAAGTAGCAAACGCCAAGGGAGCGCCGTAACATCGAGTGCAGTCGTCATGCGGGATTTTTTTTTTTTTTTTCTTAAAGAAAAGCCGCAAGTCAAGATTTTTAATCGGCGAGGCCGAGTGATTTACGACCGGGATGAACTTTGTGGGCACTCATCGGTGGGCGCTGTGTTAAAAATACACAGCGGTTATCTTTGCGACAATGGTGGCAGGCTTTCTCGCACATCGTTTATAATCGAACCATATCTGATAACGATGCGGACAAGGGGGAGCCTCTTCGTCTCGATTAGAATCCTTATCGAAGCTGTCCACCGTGAAAATAATTCTGTGGGTGTTTGGGTTTTTTTTTTTTTTTTTTTGGAGGAACCCAGCAGAAACCAAACGGAGAAGAAACATTGTAGTCACATGCATTGAAAACTCAGCAGTGTCTGATTTTGTTTCGGTGTCAAATTCATTTCATACAGAGCAAACGCTTTGATTATCAGGAATCACACGTCACATAGTCTTTCCCTACTACTTTTGTGGACACGACTGGCACCTGTCATTTATTGATTCATTCTTTTTTTAAAAACCTCCTCCTGGCTTGAAACCCTAATTTGAAAGCCATCTTATGGAAACGTAATTTGAATAATAGGAATGAAGTTCATTCGATGGACAAAGAATGTGCAGGTTGAATAAAAGGCAAATATTTGCTATTAAATTTACTTCATATCAAAAAAAAGTTCTCTGTGATACACTAAACTGTTTTTTTTTAAATGGTTCCCTCTTTAATCATCCTACAGTTCAAAATCCTTTGGAGTCTGAGCATGACAAAAAAAAAAAAAAAAGTGTCCGGTGTGATTGTGGTTCGCGTTGCCAGGTTGGAATCGCAATTGGTTGTGAAGTTTTATTTAAAAAAAAAAAAAAAATCTGGCGTTTTTGTTCCAAAGAGGTTTATGATTTTCACACACACACACACACACACACACACACACACACACACACACACACATTTACAAAATAAAAATAAACACTGGTAACCTGACAATGACACATTCATTCATCGTATTCAGGTTGGCAGCTCGGTGACCACTTCCTGTTTAGCAGCTAATTGCTAATCACTTAATTACTCATGCTGCGTTTACTTTTGCAGGAGGTCAGCCACTGCGACCTTGGGGGCTACTTTATTTTGGATAAAAAGGGAGCGGGGGGGGGGGGACGTGGATGCCGGTTGTGCCCTTTACTCATAAGCAAAGCAAGATAGCGGCACGATACGGCACATGTCAAACTCACCCACAAGTTGTGCATGGTCAGAAACGTTAGTGCACATCGAAATGAATATGACATGCAAGCACACCTCCAGACTGAGATGTTCAAGACCCAAGGTTAAAACATGATGTCACTCTAACCCTGTGTTTACATAATATGCAAAGCAAACACGTCCGAGGTTCCAGCGACTCGACTGACATATGTATGGGAAGAGATTTCGGGCAGAGTAGGGGAATTCCACTATTTTGGTTTCGAAATGGTAAAATTGTTTTTTATGTCTAGCACCAGTCTTCCCAACCACGTTCTTTCACACACATCCGAACGCGAAGCGAATGACTTTCTCAGAGAATTTTCCACAGTCAAGCGAGCTGCCAGAATGTAAGGTTTGCAAGACAAAAATCCGAATGAGCGCTTACGGGAAACAAAGTAAATTTTGTCGCCGCATAATAGACATCATGAAGAGTAGAATAGAATTACGTGGTTTCCTCTCCCTTCTCGTTGGCTCTGTTTATATTCAAGTCTGTGCCAGCCTTTGTTTCCGTGAAGCCTTTGGACCACCGAAAAATGCTCTGGATCGGTTTCATGATATACACGAGGAAAAATATTCAATGTGTGACTCATCAGTCTGACAAAAACCACACTTTTGCCCCAAACCACAATGATCAGACACAATAGCAATGCTTATGACACTCACTTTGTATGCCCCATTAGATTCCCATGGAGACAATGCAAACGCTCTCTTGCACTTGCTCGCATATGGACAGAATTTGTTTCTTGACATTTCTAGTTTTACGATAGACATTTGCAAGACAAATGAATATCCCTAATACACTATATAGGCTATACAGTATATCGCTTTTGGCCAAAATCAGTTGCTTGACGTCGGCTTTATATTTGAGCGTTCAATGCACGGTGTTTTAATTTTGATGAGCTAGTATTTGTTTTGTTTGTGAATAGATAATTTGACAACAAACCTTGGCAGGGGTGTCCAAAAATTTTACAAAGAGGGCCTGATTCGATGAGGTGTAAATTTCTATAAAGGCTGGCCGTTCAAGCTTTTACATTACAAAGTGGACGGAAAGTTGACGTTATACTGTATATCATAAAAAAATTTTTTTAAAAAGTGCAAGAGCATTTCCAAATGCTAACGGCAGTTGAAGTGCCGGTCACAAACAATACAGCCATCGTAATAATGCGTTGTAAATTATAGATTGGGGGGGTGGGGGGTATTTGATGCGGCAAGTGCGCAGGGCGTTGCCTGGCAACTCGGCCAACTCTCATCGTGCAACATCTTGGAAGCATTCCGCTGTGAGCGCTGTATTCTGATCAAATAGCTTTTCGCCAAGAGCCCTCTTTACAGCGGCCAATTTCACACATCATCCGCAAGTGGAGATCTTGCAGTTCCTTCAAAGTGTACTTTTCGATCCGCTGCACAGACTGCAGGAAGTAGTAGACCGTGCAACTCATGGTTCATTTGCCTTTTATTTTTGTATAAGCCTAACCTATAAGACCAAAGCATGGGACACGATACGTGGGAACAACACCTTGAAAAAAAATCGCATATTAAATGGCAATTCTAATTCATTCGGCCCTACCTTATGTATGAAGTGAAAATTGAACTTTCAAAGCTTCTACACGCAAAGAAATCACCCACTAACTACCACTTGTGGATGCAATGACACATCAGAGTGACGCTCTGTCTGGTTGCTGCTGAAGCACAAGTTTTATTTTTGTACAAGATCTTAGATTGAAATCACTTCAACTTTATTTTTTTTTGTTTTTTTTTTGCAGCACATTCTGTCTCTTCCTCTCGCTCTCATTCCACATCCCTCCTTCCTTGGCTGTACTGCTGACTGGCCTCTCCTGGGAGCGTGCCTGCTTTGATTTGGAGCTCAGGTCCGAGCTCAGAAACCAAAGCTAAAACAAACACGCACTTGGCCACCACCTCTGTAAATGCACACATGCGTACGCCGCGCGCACACAGCTGGAAACAAAGCACTGATTACCCCCGCCTGCCTGCAGTTTGGAAGCAAAGTTTGATGTTGTGTATTTGTGGAAAAAAAAAAGCAAGAATAAACGAAAGCTACATTCCTCCGCCGGCACGTAATGACTAAAACAAATGCGTTGCACTATCTGTCCATTGACTGTCGTATACGTGATGTCATTCGTTGGATGGGGTGAATGGATAAATGACCTGAAATGGACGGGGAAAACAATTCAAGACAAAGAGAACGTTCTTCAAGTCGGGATCCTGATCAGAACCCAACAGCGCACTTATTGAAGACAAAAACGAAGGCAGCAAGACTCACAATGGCCTGGCCAAAAAAAAACCCCAAACAAACAAACAAACAAAAAAAATCTCCAGGAAGGACCACTAATCAATCACTCCCATCACTTCTGCACTTGAAAATGGAACCCCGTGTCATCAAGTGTGTGGCCTTCCAAAATACCGTCCCATGAAATGCCAAATGCCATGTTTTTTTGTTGTTTTTGTTTTTTTTCGGAAACCACTTAAATGAAAGCAAAGAGTCAATCACATGGTGTTCGTTTCAGTTCAAATCCATCGCGCTGGCGTTCAAAGGCGCGCCTGAGACTCGCTCTCCGCGATCATTATCGCGTTGCCACAACAACAAATCAAAGACTTCAGCACAGTACCGTATGTAATTTGTTCTGGTTCGGATTTAGCCCTTATATGTTACCCCCCGTCACCTCCCCCTTTCTCCGTGCACATGTGTGTAGCGAGCGTCGACATAAAGGCTTCTTTATTCAGCCCTGACAGCGAGAGGAAATCAGCTTTAGAAGCAAAAAGAGAGGGAGCGAGAGTGCGATGGAGACCACAGGCCCGCACATCTGGAGTTATTACAAGGCCTCCTCCTCCTCCTCCTCCTCCTCCCACACACACACCAACAAAACGCAGACATTCCTCCCCGGGCCTCCGCTCTCATCCACATCTCCTGCCTCCATCCCTTCGGCGGGCAAATCATCGATCACGCACGGACAGAGTCGGCTGGATGGAGGGATGCGGCGGGACGATCGAGAAACTTTACAACCGAAAGAATGGCCCTCGCTTCCTGTTCACCTTTGAACTTCCACTTTCTCCCTGGAAGCCGGCAAGGGCCGGGAGGGAGGCGGTGGTGGTGGCAGAAAAGGGGAGGGTGGTTAAGGCAAATCAGAGGGAGGGTGCAGAGGAAGCAGAAAGGGACAGAGAATGGGTTGTGGGGGGGGGGGAATGAAAGGGGAGCTCCTCCTCTTTCTCTCTCCCTATCTCCTCTCTTGCTCCCGCTCGCCCATTTTCCTCCTTCTGTCTCCTGGAGGGGAAACTTGTTGGTGGTCAGTCCGCTGCCACGTCAAGCCTCCAGCAAGGTGGACGCAGTGGAGTGCCATTTTTTTTTTCTTTTTTTGGGGGGGGGTTCTAACTTTGGGAAGGAAAACGATGGGGAAAGTTTTCTATTCTAGGTTTGACTATTTACTATTCCAGTCAATGTGGAAGATGAACGCCCCCCCCCCCACGCACCCCCTCAAAAAAAAAAAAAAAATAATCGGACAAGAAGTTGCAAAGAAGAGATGCTCCAATTTCAGGTAAGCCCATTTACGATGAAGAAGAGTGGAATTTGGGGATGGGAGCACTTTTGCCGTACGCTTGTCTAGTAGTTGAAATCTTGGTTGCAAACTTTTTGTGAATGTGAGAGAAATAGGCGAGCTTTCAACGTGTTTCCTCTCGACAGATGTCTGGAATGCGCCGCGCAGCGGGATGCTGGGCAGGGAACCTCTCGGAATCTGCCAATCAGTGGCTATCACCTCCGTCTCACCTCTCCTCCCGCCCTCACCGTCATCCTCATGGGCTCGGGTGAGTAAAAGCATGCGCTCCGTTTTTTTTTGTTTTTTGTTTTTTTTTGTTTTGTTCCAGGAAAACCAAACAAATAAATGCAGCATCTATCAAGCCCGGCCCGCCCGCCCAGTGTTCAGACTACCTGTTCAGGAAGTAGTGGTTGTACAGTAGTCTGCACATTGGTTAGGCTGGCCCGGGGAAGCACGGGAACAGAACCAGCACTTCAGAAGCAGCCCTCAGCCCAACTTGGGATGCGGAAGAGCCCATTTGAGTGGTTCTGAATGGACCACAAAGTCCTCAAAGAAAGTGACTCAGTGATGGTGCTGCTGATGTCACTTTGACACAATGTAGTGATGTTACCAAATCATGTTCAATTTGTTAAAAAAAAAAAAAGAAATAAAGATGCTTCTGATTGGGAACAGTTTTTTTGATTTTTTTTTTGTTTGGGAAGCAGCTCGTCAGAGTCAACGTCTTCAAAGTTTTCCTTTATAATTATGTTTTAGGAGAAAGCAAGTTGATCGCATATGATCTCAAACTTTCGTTACTCATGAGAAACTTTTCAGACTTTTTTTTGACGTTTGAATCGTCCTCCAAATTACGAAAAGTGTTTGTTACACAACTGTGACTTTTAAAACGTTTGAAAATAGTCTTCCCCAAAAGAAATGTGTCATAAACTACTGAAGGGAATTTTAAATCTGTGAATAAAATGTTACCAACCTTGTGTTCCGTACATACTTCATAATTCAGTGGGTTTTTTTCTTCAAATATATAAAAAGGTACCCACAATATTTCGTTACAACTTCAAAGTGATCAAATTCAAAGTGACCATGATTTGTGACTTATAACAAAAAAAAAAATGCTACACAACATGTTTAAAAAATACCACTGAAATATTTGCAAAATGTCTCTTGGTTACTTGTAAAATATTTGAAAATGCAAATTAATACCCACGTAAGTTGATTTTATGTAGATATTTTTAACCTTTCGTGACTTTATATTCTCACTAAATTCCCCAAGTTGTTTTTACTTCATGATTTCTTTTATCCTAATTATTGTTTCGTTTCATTACGTGGAGCATAGATTAATCTTTGTATAGTTTCCCTTTTTTTTAAATTGATTGGACAGAATGAACCAGATCGACTCGGGTCAGGCATTCAAGGTCCATGTTCACAAAAACGTTTCCAAAAGGGTTAAAAAACACAGAGTACATTTAAATTTAGGTGATGAGGGGAGCCAGGAAAAGACTCACCCGTGCAGGATATGAATAGACAAACCCAAAGCATACAATTATGTCTCCACCTCAAATGACCACGTTATGTGCAAAGAGAGCACACAAAAATGTCGAGAGCGCCCCACTCTGTCATTGCCTTGTTGACTTTTATTTTTATTTTTACTTTGAATAGAATGCCTCCCTGCAAACAGAGATCAATTGTCAGCGGTTGTTTGCGGGTGACGTCACGTTTAGCTCGATTTCCCTCCTTGCCTGGTTTGTCACCGTGTTTACCTCAAAGGGTGTCGGGGGTACCGCTTGGCCTTTGCACACTGTTTTGAATTCCCTCTGCAAAGACACAAAAGCAATGCAAACGCGGCGTCCTGCCTCGGAGCGGCATCCAAAACCGCAAACCAGCAGGCCTGTTTCCATT